TTTTCTTTCTTTCTTTGCTATTCGAAAACCCTCTAAATTTTGAATATAGCTTCTTTGTCACCATATAAAGAAAGCGTAGCTTTTTCAGCAACATTAATACTTACTTCAATAATTTTTCTAAATACAAACCAATATATGGTTAATGCTTTTAATATTATGTATATATACACATACATAAGAATAAGCATGAATTAAATATATTTTTAAAGTAAATACGTACACAATCCCCAGTAAAACACAAAAAAAATCCCAACAACAGAAAATTTGTTTAACGTCTCTATAACGAAGACCTCTTTATAACGATGACCTCTCTATAACGAAGACCTCTTTATAACGATGACCTCTCTATAACGAAAACCTTTCTATAACAAAGACCTCTCTATAACGCAGACCTCTCTACATCGAAGACCTTTCTATAACGAAAATCTTTCTATAACGAAGACCTCTCTATAACGAAGACGTCTCTATAACGAAGAACTCTCTATAACGAAGACGTCTCTATAACGAAGACCTCTTTGTAACGAAGACGTCTCTATAACGAAGACCTCTTTGTAATGAAATTTTTTGCAGACATCAATGACTTCGTAATAGAGAGGTTTGACTGTACATGGCTAAAATAAAAAATAAGGCAAAAATAAGTCTGAGGATTGTGAATACTCAGACAACATAAACAAATACCTGTGAGTTATGCTTTTGGGTATAGTTTAAAAAATAAAATAAATATCTTCATTACGTTTAGAAAAACGTCCTTTTTCTGTTAATCATAAATTTGCACTTCTTTTTCAAACACAATTTCTTATATTTAAATTTTGTTATTGAAGTGAATCCATCAATTTTGCTTAAGATATAGATATAGTTTATACATTAGTTGCTGTTTAAATATTGCTTATTCTTCATTGAGTGAACAAGCAAAATAAACATTTATTGTGGTTAAAATGGAATATAATTCTTATTAAATAGTCAGCAAGACTATAGGTTTATTGCCCCTGTAAAATATGATATATATTTTTTTTTTATACTGATTGTTGTGCTTGCTATAGATTATTGATATTGAATGGAAAAATTTTAGCTTTTGATTATTTTTATTGGAATTATATCAATATTAATATATATCTTCCCTAGAATATTTATTTGCTAAAAACAATTTTGAGAGAGGAGAGACAAGGCGTTGCTGTATATACCTCAGTTTAAGTTTATTTCAATATATTTTTTTTCAATAATATTGTTAAAAAAATTAACACACTTTATAAGGAGACAAACTTCTTCTGCTAAATCATTATTATAAATCATTGTATTGCGGAACCCTCACATTATTAAGGTTTTTACACTTTTTTAATCTGAAAAACCGCAAACTTTTAAGACTGATATTTTTTATAAAAATTTGGTAAAAAAAATTTGTGTTGTTATTGTTTTTTTTTGCAGTACAAATCGATCTAATCAAAATTAGAAAAAAATAAGCAATCACAATACATATAATATAAACAAAATAAAGTCATTTTGATCAAGAAGCAGCATTTTTATAGATAATATACGAATAAGTTTCAGTTCTCTTTTATTTCGGAATGATTCATTTGGACAGACGATATGCGTTGTGGATTTGTGGGCATTAAGAACATCTAAGGCTGTTTAAATAATCAGAGTAGTGGACCACCAGATTAAAGTAATAAAATTTTACGACTGACTTGAATCAATTCTTGCAGCTTATAATAATATACATAAAGAAACACACTTCCAGCTCAACAAAAGCCAACAAAGCTTAGTTAAGTTCATTAGGGCTGTTTAGTTCCAAGAATCTGACTTCCACAATATAAGGCAATAGTCTTATCAGTTCACATGTATAAAATCCAAGTTTTGGGTGTTAAGCAAAAAATGTTCGAATCACTTAAACTCTATTGACAACTTTTACTAAGAATTGTGGGTCTTGCAAACAAGATAGAGTCTGATCATAGACGATAGAACCACGAACTATACGTGGCATGTTTTGAAACAGTAATATTTACATAGAGACAGCACGTTACGTGCTGATGAGCTTATTATTTAACTGGTACGAGTGAAGAGAAATCTACTGCAAAAGCATACTTTATGATAAGCGACAGCTAAATAAAATATATTTACTTTAAATGACGAAAATCAGGACGCTTTGTACACTAAATTATTGGCTAACAATCAGGATCGGCAGAGAAAGTTGCTAAAGTTTCTGATGAAATATTTCAACAGACTATGTACTATAATTTTTTATTTTCGTCCAAATGGTGATGGCGAATAAACGAAATATATGTTTCCTTTTTGCTGTCCTTCATTTCTTAAATATTGATTTGATTGTTTAGGGTTGTCTCGTAAAGTTCGGGTATGACACATTTATATGCCGGTTTGATTACTTAAAGAATTAAGTGTTTACCTCCTAAAACAACAGTAAGATGAAAATTAAAAAACAAGACTATAAACTTAAATTGTGAAGTTTTTGAGTCGTCATGTCATCATTACATTGCTTGCAATAATTCTATTTTATAAAAAGCGTAGAAAAGTATCTGCATTTCATATGAATTATTAAATTATTTATAATTTTATGTTATATATTAATTTAATAAAAATTTTTGAAAAATTATTACATAAAGAAAAAAATATTATAAAGCAACGTATACAGTTTAATTAAAGCAATAAGAAGTTCGAGTTATTCTTATTTATAAAACAAAACATGTGTCAATGCCTAAATGCAACTCGACCAATTTTTTAAAATAGTAAGTATCTCAACTAACCAAAGCTGCCCTCACCGTCCACCCTTTTCTTTGTTTATTTGCTTAAAATACTTTCTTTTTATTGGTTCGAAAGTCCACTTGTTTATCTTGTTTGTTCGTTAGTATCTTTGCGATACATCCATTGTCACCATTGTTTGTTTGTTTAATTTTAGTGCAGATTCATTTCGATTTTGTGGTGCAATTAACAGAATTAGTGACATTATACAAGTTGTTAGACGAAATTGGAAAGTTTCCTATTATTGTAACAGAAAACCACTTAAATTGAATTAAATAAGTAAATAAGTAATAAGTAAATGGAAGTAAATGGAAGTAAATAAATACTTGCATTCGACTTAAGATAAAAGCAACAAATCTAAACGATTACAGCACTATATACATTATTTGCATATTACTATATGTCTAAAATATGAGTCATGTATTCTGTACATTGCAAGTTAATTGTCTTTTTTGCTGATTATTCCCAATTTATTTATTATTAATTTATTGTTCTAAATCAGGGCATTCGTGCACTATTTTGCTAATAAACAAATTCATGTTAAATTAAATAAGTTAAAATTATTTCTTTTTTTTTATATATTGCGTAGGTATTAATTTTCGTAAGTAGCTCATAAGCAATTATTAGCAACATTATACGCAGATAAATAAATGATTAAATGAAGTATTCGATTACACAAGTCGAACCAAACGCATCTCTACATCTCTTTTAATATCCAAGAAAGTATCGACGGGTTACATGTGCTCGGTGAATTAGTCTCATCATAATAAAAATACAATTATACCTTCCAACAAGTTACAAGTGCTTCGTGATGTCTCGGTACATAAATTTCCATTTACATTTATAGAAAATTGAGGATAAACGTATCCTTAATTGGCATAAACTATCTGCAAATTTGTTTACTTATTTAATTATTTTAAATACTATTTTACAAGAATAATATTTAAACTAGTTTTTAAACAACTTCTTCCAGCCAGCAAAAATTTGTATATCAGAAAGAATAGATTTCACAGCCAAATAGCTGAAGTCATTATTTGCAACAGAAGTAACTTTAAATCTATATGAAGTCTATATGAATTCTCAACAAATGTCTACTTTTAGTTTCGATTTGATATTATTTCAATTATATTATTGTGTTGAAGTTGTTTTAAGCTAGTGCACTTAAGCACTTATACTCTTTTCTAACTCGAGGTTTCTTCAAAACCCCTCTCTACACCTAGATTATTGTTTATCACTTCATCAGACAAAGAAATAATTGACCTCAGATCTGCATACCTCCCCGAGGAGCCTGTAAACATTTTTAGATTTGATATTATTTTTTTACAATAAAGTGTTATATGATATGCTCAATATTTAAGTACAAAGTATGATAAATAAATAAAGTCTACTTCAGTGCTCAGCAGTTTGGATATTTCATTGCGTTTCGTCTGTTAAAAAATAATTGCACATTCAGCGTCATTAAATCCATCGCTTCATTATATGCACAATGAAAATAATATTATTATTCCTGTTGAAAAGATGAAAATATATTCCAAAATAAAATTTTGCATAATTTTTACTTTTGATGTCGGAATTCACAAAAAATAAAAAATTTTGAAAAATATGGAACAGGGTAAAGTAAATCAAAGGATTTAAATTGGTTGAAAATTTGCCTCCTTTTACATACCCTTCACACACAGTGAGCAATATTTAATACACATAAGAAAAAATATTTAAAATTTTATTAAATCGTTTGATTATTTATTGAAATTCATTTCATATATAATGAAATATATTTAGAGACGTTTTCATTAAAATCCAAATACTGTTCACCTTCAATAAACAATTCAAAGATATTCTTGTATAGATAGTAGCTTTATATGTCAGTTTATCTATAATTACTTCCAACTTAAGTAAATATGTGATTCGCATACACAAAAGTTATAATACCAGTTATATCAAAATATAGCTTGATATAACTATAACGAAACCAACTATTTTGGCTGTAGCGGTCCGCTGCTAAGATCCAAATAGCTAGTTGTAAGTAATGTATTTAGGATGGAAGGTCATTACTTGATCTTATTATGTGCTCAGGGAGTCTAAGTTTTTCGTTTTATATTTTTGCTACAATATTTGCTTTTTAATACAAGTTTTTCAAATCATAACTGTACCGCCACAGCCCTAAAACCCTTTCTTCTTTCCTTGAACCAACATTATTCTTATCAATTTTCTTTCGATTTTTCTTAGACTCCGCGTTTTATAAAATCTACATATGTGAAGACTGGAGCAATTTGTATTTGATATAGATAAACCTCTGTTTGTCTAGATTCTGGCACCTTGGATATATCATTAGATATTTCGTTCGTTTGTAAGAACTAGATTTTGAACTATTTCCTCGTTAGCATTATATACCTGATCCCAGATATATAAAGTCCGTTCTATTTTAAATTTTTATGTAGTGTTGCTCCAAGTGGGTTTTACTTTAGTTACTGCATGAACCTTTATTTCTCTTCAATTATTCCAAAACTTATATAATCCGCTACTTTTTGTAGTCAAAATTTTTTTTTCATGCTTCCAACTCAGATTTGACTAGATCGATATTATTATATGTATAATATTGATTAAGTTAAACTGAAATCGAATTATAAAATCGATTCATTTTTAATTCAATTAGCTTTTCGCTATGAAGATTCTACAATTAAGTTATAATTTAATATAAAAAATGGGCTATTACAATATGTTTGGATTTTGCTTCACACTCCCATAAAATTATTCAAAGAACTACTAAATACGAAATTTACACCAATCTGATGTTGAATAATCGCCCATGGACTATACATACATTAAATAAAAATAAGAATTCCTATCAGGTTAGTCTTCATGTATATACTAATAATCTAACTAGAATCATAATCAGAATTAGATACGCTTCAAACGTCTAATTGCAGCAGATTGATGCAATCATCTTTACTGACTTTAAAAACAACTGACTTTAATCCAACAGAGGATACAGCTATACGTATGAAGCTCAGAATATTCTAACATCTACAGTCAGAATATTCTTAGCTTTATTTTATCCTCTCTTTTATCCTCTGTTGGGTTAAAGTCAGTTATCTTTAAAATCAGTAGAGATGGTTGCATCAATCTACTCCAATCTGCTTCTTAATACCTGACATAGGTAGTAACTCCACTCCATTACTTCTTTTGCCCAGGTATAGGTCAGAGAGATGTTGCACCAAAAAATTTATAAATGGTCTTAATTACTACCGTGCAAAGATAACATTCTGTTTTTTCAGACACATCTATTTTGTTTAGACGGTAGCTTAAGCAATATTGATCTGCCAAATAATGTGTTACTGTCAGTCTATTAATTACCTAATACCAATTTCTGGTTTATAAGTGATTGATTGCGAAGACATTGTCAATAATAATTAACGATTCTAAAACAGTGTCCTGATAGTTTTTATATGAAAATAGTTCGACGTTAATATATAAAAAGAAAGAATATTATTAATTATTATTGACTCGTTCTGGAGTTTGCCTAGATCGCTTTTGGAGTCTATAATCAGGAGGCACGTGCCTACAAGCATTCAAGTGTTTTAAAACTTGATGTTATGGCTTTTATATCAAATAGAAACTATATTCCTACAAATCCGGAAAAAGTTTTTTGAGAAAGTCATTATAAACAGACTTAACTTAATTGTGAGCCGATTTTTGAGATTCGAGCATAGCGGATTTAAACCCAAAACTTCAAATTTAGTTATTTTTTTCACTACTCGAACCATTTCATAGAACGAAAAACAGAACATATTCATAAATAACTACCATCCTAATGTTTACATGGAATAGTTCATGCCATATTAAGGCTGACAATACCTTAAATCAATTGCTTAATCCAATATTTATGATTTTTTCCGCACTGCAGTTAATTGCCTGTGTTTCAAAGCCCCAGAATAAACATTACGCATTTTAAGTTAATCCTTTGATTATTGCTCTTTATTTAATGATATCAGTTTTCGCGCTACTCAAACTCAAATTTATAATTATTATTCTTGTTGACAAGCAAATGGCTAATTTAGTATTTTTATTTATATTTCAGTTCGGTTTATGTATTTTATTTCTTTGCAATTCTGTTAAAAACTCATTAAATCATTAAAAATGGAAATGGAAACGAAATGATCAGCACCGTCAATTAGCAGGAATTTTCAACGTTGTCCGTGCTGTATTTCAAATGTCGGTAATGTCCTTACTGGTAGCATTGCACACTTGACCCAACAAGAGGCGGGTTAAATTCGCCTACAAGTGTTGCAAATGGATGAAAAATATTTCTGAAATTCATTTTGTTTTACGAGTATGAATGGAAGTTTTGTTCTCGGCGCATTTTAATTGAAATTATTTGAGACTATTTTTACTTTTCATGAGGAATACTCACCTTTCTTTCCAACGTGAAAACAGACGGTCTCGTTGTTGCCATAGAAGGCCGCGTTTAATTGGACCAGTCATTGAGGCAACCGGAATGCGTCCAGCTAACAGTGATTGCTGTAATTAAAAAGAAAAATGTAATCAGAAAATCTAAATCAGAGAATACATAAAATATCTGAAGGGTTGTGAGTTGTGAAAGGAAAATTTTAAAATTTTTACAGTATACATTACTAGGATATTCGTTTTTACTAAAATCTAAAAGACTTTCAAAACAAAAACTATTTTAAGATATAAAAATTTCATTTTGAATTTATTAAGCGACATTTCAAAGAATGAATCGTAATATAATATTAAATTTATATATAATATATTAAAAAAGCTGAACTGGTAAGAGAGATGAAAAATATTTAGATAATGTCAGTAAAAATATATTTTCGAATAATTTAAAGAGCGTGTCATTAAATCGAAAATGGTTAGAAATCAATTTTAAAAGTGAATTGCACTGGAATTCAATTTGTCTTGACAACTTAAAAAATAATTAAAAACAATAATTCTCAATCTTCAGAAGAGGAACGCTGTGCTACTTTCCACAAAAGCTGTGCCACCATTCATCATTACCGAAAGCTTGCCAGAACCAAAAATGTAGACTACCAAGGATGAGTTATCATTCCTTGTTTACTGTCTGCCAAAGGGTATTTATGAGAAGTGAAATCCTAATGATTGTTACACATTTTGTTATTGGTTTCACTCCAAAGCATTCGAGACATTTCATAAACAAAAAAGTGGGCAATAAATATGGAAAAGTGAGAAATGACAGCGCATTAAGGAGGAAATTTTAGACTTAAAAGCCGCACATGAGCCCCGAATTTATGATAAAATAATTTATCCACAAAAAGAAAAATATTTTTGAAATTATTTTAAAGCAGACAAAATAAATTTCGATTGAATTTACAAAAAAAACGAAGTTAAAATTGTTAAAAAAAAAGAGTGCATCTTTCTTTTTTTAAATGACTCTAGGAATTAGTACGTTGCCCAATAAACAATAAAGTCTTACAAAAAATTGTCTACTAATTTTGAAAAAGATTGAAAAAAAAGGAACGAAATAAAAAATAAATGTTAGCAAAAATTAGATGACATTCAATTAATCTAAATCTGATCTAATAACAGATCTCTTGATCTGAGCACTTATCTCTTGATGCATGTAAATGAAGAGATTAAATACTCTAGAATACTTAAATTATACGATTTATCGTTCCATTTGCATAAGATTTTTTTAGATTTACTAAGAGATAGCGCCAGCTAAAAGTATTAATTTGTATTAATTTGACACATACATCATTTTGTTCGTCTAACATTCAACAACAAATACACACAAGTTAAGACCGCCAAATACTAGCGTCATTGATTTATCGTTCAGTGATCATGCCGAATATTGTACCTGAAAAGAACTTTTCTTTTTTACTTTTCTTCTTAAATCAATAGAACAGCGAGTTGAAAATCTTCATTTTCTGGTACAAACATATGGTTCAACACGCTTCATCGATTATAACATACTATATATGGTTTCGACAGTTTAAAATGGTCACTTGTATATGAAAGACAGTAATCTCTCTGGTAGACCACAAAAGAGCGAAGACGAGCAATCGCAAGAAATATTGGATGATGACCCAACTCACAATCACAGCAATTAGCAAAATCATTAAATAAATCACAAAAAAATGATCAACAGAGAATTACGAGGAATGGGAAGCATCAATAAACTAGGAAAATAGGTCCCATGAACGTCAAATGGAAATTTTGCAAAGTCACTTATGTAAGGCTCTTTCAACGCCACGAAACAAAACCATTTCTAAATCGAATTGTAACGGACGACAAAAAATGGATCAAAAACTCAAAGCGTAAAAAACTGTGGCCTTCACCTGGCGAAAGCTGTCCTTCAACAACAAGGCCGTATCGCTTCGAAAAAATATGCTCTGTGTCTAGTATAACCAGAGCGGTATTGTGCGTTATAAACTCTTGATGGCCATCGTCAATAGATTACCTTAATTTAATTGATTTAAATTACGCATTTATAGTTAAACGTGTGGAGGCAAATTATTTGTACTTTATACTGAAATATCTCGGCTGCAGATGGAACTCTAATACTAGATGTATATTGGAGTAAAATGTGTACCCCTAAAATAATTTTAATAAGCTTTCATCTATTACTCTATTAATAATTTTTTCACTTTGTTACAAAGCTGTATTTGTTGTATTTAAAGGTAAGTCTTAATTTGTTTAAATATTAATTGAATGGAAATAATCGATTTACTTGTTTGATAATTTCGTTATGTTCTCTGAATTCAACAGTCCAAAAGGGATTAAGTGAGTTTTACTGAAACTCACTCGTTTTGTTTAACAAATTATTGAAATAGTTTAGAGAGATAAATAATAGATATACTGGAAGATGTAGAAGATAGTAATAGATCTAGAAGAAGAAGTAAGCTTCTTACCATTATGATCTGTAAGTTAGTCGTACTTCACTATGTTGACATGCAAGATTGTTCAAAAAATTGTTTTTGGTTTTTCAAAAGACGAACTAAATACATATTTTTTGCACTTATGGTCCAAAGTCTTACCTATTTAGGCATTTTTTATAACAAAGCTTATTAATATTATATATAGTATTTGAAAAATATCAACAAAAGTTTTGTTTGTGATGTTTGTTATAGTGGCATCTGTAGTGCAAGTATATCACTATCCTATATATCATTATTTCATGAAAATTTAGTTAAAGAAATCTTGATACTAATAGTTTTTTAATACTTTGAATGAATTTTAATATATTTGAAATCATAGGTAATTTCCACACATCACAATGTTCTGAAGAGTCTATGAATATTTCATAAGAATTTTCTACAAATATATTTGACAAAATTCTCAGTATCTCTTCCTCTTTTCACAATAATATGTTAATATCCAGATTGAGACATTTGATAAATTTATGATTAAAATAATTTTAAACTAAACTCATATGCCGGTCACGTTTAAAAAGCCAAATTATGCAAATTTCACAAAATTGACGCGTTTACACTGCACAACCTAATCAACAAATTTTTTTAACAATTGCTGGAGTAAAAAAAGTATGTCCGTCTGTCTGTCGCATTGCAAGTGTGTGCGTGTGTTTTGTTAATGTGGTTTACGTAAGCGGAAATAAGCCATTAAATTGTCAATTTAGTAATTTTTGCTTCAAATAAATTTATATTTCAGATAAAATATAGAATTTTATATTCGTCTTTTTCCAGGTGGAACTGAGTTAACAAACGTGCACATACGTAATCTATGTACTTTAGTAATTTAAAGTAATATATATTAGACATTATTGACATTAGATTTTCGCTAATAGTCACTATTTCTTGTTAGAAACGCATTGAGAAGTCGAAAATAATTGAAGTCCCCTCTAGAGTACAACACGTAAAAATTATGACGTGAAGAGTAAGAACATATTTTTACACTCCACAAACAGTAGGAAATAACATAGTATGCTGCGGTAAATGTCTTTAAGAATTGTTAATCAGCTAGAACGAATCAATTTACTTCTATATTCAACTACTTATGGCTTTGATAGTGAATTGTCGATTGGGACACCAATATTTGACAATATACCGAGAGGATATCGGTAAAATTCTTTGAGATTATTTCTTCACTATGAAAACGATTTTTCTTCACCAGGTTATCAAATGCACATGGGAAGTAGTTGACCTGACCGACGTAAGTAATTGTTAAGTAGAAAGCTTTAGCATTTTAAAAATAGTGAGAGCTTTGGAGTACTTTTTCACGTTGCCGCAGTCAGTATGAAACTATAATTCTTTACTCAATTTTCAATCTACAATTATAATTCTCATTCGGTTTATGTATTATTCTGTTTTTATTTTAAAATCGTTCTTCAATAAATAAGACTTAAATTTAATAAACTATTTAGATTGAATTGATGCATACTAAAAAATTTCCTATTTTGACTTTATTCACTAATGATTTTAATATATTTTTACTTTTCTAGAGCAACATATATTTATTATCTGAAATATTTTTAAAAAACGTTCAACGTAACGTACATTGAAAAAATTCTCAATTCTTGAATATTAAATTGAGTTTAGTTGCAGTAAAATGTTTTCGGAATTCGAACCTATGCCCAACGACGACGCTGGAAATAAATTAAGAGTAGGAATAATGGTGACGTCAAAAGTAACGTACTCATATTTTTTTACAGTGATACTAAGTTTGATGTCATTATCAAATGTCATAATATATATGTTAGGTCGACATACATAAAATACAGGCATATCCACTTGCTTGTAGAAGGAAGCACTGCCACCATAAAATGTTTCTTACCATAACTAACTTTAACAAAAGAGATGGAATTAAGTCTTTTTATTACTGGTGCCAAATGAACAGACGATGTGCGGTCCAGATTTGTTTAATTTTACTTAGAACAGAGCCAAGCGATTACTAAATTGTTTATAAAATAATATTTAAAATAATATAAATATTATTTATATTTAATTTTTTAAAGCCAGCTACGACGCAAGAAACTATTTTATTAATACGGTGAATAGTTGTTTTATAGAACTTCTTACATATATATTATACATAACATTAAGTCTTGAGTTTTTAATTTTAGTATGAATATAGACTAATGTAATTTTTATTTATAATTTTTTATTTTTCTGCTGCATTACTTATTGTGTCTTCCAAACATAAATTGAACCTCTTACACAATATGTACAATTCGAATAACACAATAGCAAACCAGTAAACGCCCCTATGTATATTAAACTACAGTAATCCATAAGAGCAGCACTACTCTTTCCAACATCAATAAAACCAACTACTCGATAAGGTTAGCATTCAATTATATTCTAAGCAGAATGCCATATATAGTATTGACAACTTAATTATGATAAGTACTCATATTTCATTTAATTATCATGTTTTTTGTTTTTGTTTTTGTTTTACAGTTCAACTATTGGCAGGCAAGTGCAGCACTCATGAAAACGAAGAACTCTTCTGAAGCACTGTACCGACCAAATTTGTGGTTGTAATTATCGCTGCGTGTCTCAATTTATGCATAAAATTTG